TCCTTGCCTGACACTGTCTTTGAGATGGGGGTCTGTTTGCCTTTTAAAAATTACCAGGCTACATATCCATAAGCCTCCAGGAATCTCTTGTTTCTGCCTTCCAACTTAAGGATGATTATGGACAACTGCATGAACCCAGGGTCTTAAAACTGAACACCCTCTCTTTCTTTTGGAATAACTAGGGAAGAAACAATGGGCCTTCTGGAGATAGGCAACTCACCTGCTGCTAAACTAAACAACACCTTGAGCCCTCAGCCATATTTTAAAGGAAGGACTCTAAGTACTCAATAGGCTTTTATTCTTATTTATGTGAAATGTAACATTTAGTCAGACATTCTATTATTTTCACAAAATAAATCCCACATTTATTTTGCTTTGTAAAGCAGCATATAATACCTTAAACACCAAATGATTGTGGGACCATCAGTTATCTGAGTTCTTCTCTGTCCCCCTTCTCATCTAACCAGTTTCATGTTAGATAAGTGGTTCTCAACCTGGGGGTCGAACAACCCTTTCACAGAGGTCACCTAAGACCATCCAAATACACAGATATTTACATTAGCATCATAACAGTACCAAAATTACAGTTGCAAAGTGGCAACAAAAGTTATTGTATGGTTGGAGGTCACCACAACATGAGGAATTGTAGTAATTAGGGAGGGTGAGACCCGCTGCATTAACGTTTTAAAAAGAAGTGATTTATAGAATCTGTTACCATGGCTTATTACCAGACTATGAAATCAGGGTTCTCCCCTCCATTCTCTAAGTATTGGGACTATACAATGAGAACTAAAGTTCTGAGTGACAACCAAAGACTTTGTAGGAGTCTCACTTATCAAAGAAAGATTCAATTATGTCCTATACTACATTTGCCAGGAAATAAATTTCAGGGAATATTTAAAGTATTTCTGGAGAAAAAGTTGCAATAACCTCCAGTTAGCTACGTGTGTACACCTGATTAGTTCCCAATCCTCATCAGTCCTCAGCGCCTGTGCAGTGGGGATTTATGGCACATTTGATGTTTGGGAGTGTCTATAATTGCCATGTTTACCACATAATCAGATGATGCTTTTAATTAAAAATTTGAGTTAAGAAAATTATACATCTGGTATTTGAATCACCAATACTGCTGAGTAAATTCAGTGAATTAAGGAATATACAAACCAGGAATACCAAATAGCCTGGGGAGACCGTGTTTTGCTTTGGAGATTCCAGCTGTTTTGTGAAAAAGGTTTAAAAGTAGGGTGGCTGGTTGAGCCAGATGATTCCTGCCCAGCCTGCCTTGCTGTGAGTTAGAAGTGATGAGAATTAACTGGCTAGACCTTGAGGCTCTTTGCTTCCTCGTGGGTCGAAGGTAAAACAGTAGAACCTACGTCAATGAAAAATGGCACAAAACCTAAATAATTACATCAAAGTAACAAAAAATCTCCCATAAAACTGAATTCTGCTCAGTATCCAGGCAATGATAACACTTAAAAATATATTAGTTTCTTTGAATGCAAACCTTCTATTTTTGCTTTACTAAAACCAAAAGAAAAGAAAAAAAGCAATAACACAAAGACACCTTTTGTCCTACAAAAATAATTTAATCTGCATACACACACACACACACAAATTGAACAACACAAGTAGCATTAGCATAATTTAATAGAGTTTTAAGAACTAAATCCAATGGTATGTAGGGAATCATTGAATCCCTGTCAAACCAGCTTTCCCAGTGTTTTCTGGAGAAGAATAGCTTGCACAAGATGTCCAATTTCACAGATGTTCTCAAAATTGAGAAACCATTAATGACTTTGGGAAAACATCAGAATATAGAGAAAATGAAGAAATCAAATGACCTGGGGAAATAGCTCTGTGGTTAAATCACCTGCAACACAGCAGTGAAGCCAGGAGTTCAGATCTGGACACCCAAGAAATGTCAGACAGACTTGGGTTGCCACCACTGATCCCTGCACCTAGAGATGGAGCCAAGAGATTCTACTAGGGCAATCAGACTAACTGACTTGACAAACTTAAATCCTAGTGACAGACTCTGCCTTAATATGTAAGGAGGAGAGGGGCCAAGTAAAAGCTCCAGTTGCAAGCTCTGGCGACCATGTTTCTGTGCACACATATATAAACCCACATTTGCATACAACAACAATGAAACAGAAATTGAATGACTGGATAGGTATAAATGTTCATCCCCCAAAATGCTTTTTACATAATTAATATTCTTTCCAGAAATTTTTGTTATTTTTCTCCATATTAAAAAGCTTTGCTAACCAGGGCACTCTCCTCCCTTTCTGATTTGTTTGTCTGCCATCTGGTACCCACATGACCAGCCCCTCATCTTGCTAAAGCTGTCTCTTTCAGGTATCTTTTACTCCTCAGCACACCTCACCATCTTCCACATCTGTTCTCTTGATAAGTGATTACCTTCAGGCTGTGTGGAATTCTACTGTGGTTTCTTCCTCATGTGTGTATGCATGTATCATCTCTTAGACTGTGAGTTCCTATAAGAACATAGCATGCATTTCACATTATTTATGACTGCTTCCCTATAACCCAGTTAATGTTTCCCGTTATGCATTCAATCAACATTCCTAATATAAGAAAAAAAAGCATATGGCAATGTTGAGATAATTAGAGCAAGAAGTGATAGTCTTTCAACTGAAACACAAGAGAAACAGAAATAAAAAAAAATTCTTTAAGCTGATGCAATAGCCTCTGTATTGTGGAACACAGCTGAAAATTCCTAAATAGGGGTGAGGTTGTGCATGGCACAAGACTGTGGACACCTGGGAGGGAGGGTCCAGGGACCTGTGAACTCTTTACAGCACAGAACAGTTTCAGGGAAGAAAATTGAGTTCACAAGAGTTCTACCCAATCATCCTTGACTTCAGAGTCTCTACTTTGAGGTTGGTACTTGTTTGGGTGGTGGGGGCCGCTGTGTCTCAAGGTCAGAGAGAGGCATATTTATCTTCTGGATTGCCATGTACTTTACTATAGAATCAGTGTCAAACTGGGTTCCTCAGAGGAACCACACATTCCTGTTCTTCCTTTCTCCTTTGTCTCTGAATTTGTCTGAAATGACTAACCTTTTCTCACCCAGAAAAATATTCCTCCTTCTGCATTCAGGTTGTCACTTCTATAGCAGATACAGCCTCTGCCTCCTGTCAGAGGTGCTGAAGACATCCACCTCAGGTCACGATCTACTCATCTACCTTCAATGGCAAGCACCTATGTCTCCTACTAAGAATATATCATGGTTCTTGTCATGTCCAAGTCACAACCGCACTGTCTCAGAGATAAGAATAAGTATGTGAAATACAGGCCTATAGTTAACAGGCTGAATATTGGCATGGTTAAGAGAATTTAGATGTTCTGCGTGGCTAGTATTAAGTAGAATTTGAAGACCAGCCTTGGAAACCACTGGCCTTGAGTAACAATTTCTATGGAAACAGATGTTCTAAGTTCCAAGCAGTACATACCACATGGACTTGTTACCTTGAGGCTCAATGGGGCCATCGGCTGGCACTGGGGCTGGGAGGCAGCCTCCATTCTGGTCACTGCCTTTGCCTTTCTGAGAGTTGAATGAGTTTCATAACAAGGTGTAAGGGGCAGGCCAGACATCAACCCAAACCAGCACCAGTCAGCCAGTGATCCACCAGATGTTTTCTGCCAACGTGGCTTTCCTGAGTGTGTACCATGCTGATAACTGTGTACTGTGTGCGTAGGGACCTCACAGAGGCAACCTTTTCCCTCCAGGTCAGCCCTGACTTTGAGCTCTGCAACTTCAGAGTCCTCTGTGAGCTTGAGTCTGGTGTACCTGCTGAGGAGATTCAGTTCGTCTACATGGAACAACTCCTCACAGATGACCATTGTTCCCTGGGCACCTACGGCCTCAAAGATGGTGATATGGTTGTACTACTTCAGAAGGACAATGTGGGACTTCGGACTCCAGGAAGGACCCCAAACCAGCCTCGAGCAGATTTCACCGGGTCAGCCATACCTGGAACATCAAGTACCCGTCACCATCATCATCAGCGTCAGCAACGTATACCATCAACACAAGCGCACGGATTGGCCTCGGGAGAGAATATGGCCTATGCTCGGGATCTCAATAGCCCTGCTCTGATTCGCAGCATGCTGCTTTCCAACCCTCATGATCTGTCCCTGTTGAAGGAACGGAATCCCGCTTTGGCTGAAGCTCTGCTTAGTGGAAGCCTCGAGACATTTTCTCAGGTCCTGATGGAACAGCAGAGGGAAAGGGCATTGAGAGAGCAAGAGATGGTTCGTCTTTATTCTGCAGACCCATTTGATCAGGAAGCTCAGGCTAGAATAGAAGAAGAAATCAGACAACAGAATATTGAAGAAAATATGAACATAGCTATGGAAGAGGCTCCAGAGAGTTTTGGACAAGTGGCTATGCTCTATATTAACTGCAAAGTGAACGGGCACCCTTTAAAGGCTTTCGTTGACTCGGGTGCTCAGATGACTATCATGAGCCAAGCATGTGCTGAGAGATGTAACATCATGAGACTGGTGGACCAGCGATGGGCCGGGGTTGCTAAGGGAGTGGGCACACAGAGGATTGTGGGCCGAGTTCATCTGGCTCAGATTCAGATTGAAGGTGATTTCTTACAGTGCTCTTTCTCCATACTGGAAGAGCAGCCGATGGATATCCTTCTAGGGCTTGATATGCTCAGGAGGCATCAGTGTTCCATCGACCTAAAGAAAAATGTGCTGGTCATTGGCACCACCGGCACACAAACACACTTCCTTCCTGAGGGAGAGTTGCCCTTGTGTGCCAGACTGGTGAGTGGAACTGTGCAAGAAGACTCTTCGGATAAGGAAGTACCAGGCAATATCATCAAACATCCAGTCAAGGGTCCAGGACGAAAACAGCATTGAATCAGGTTGTATATAAGCCACAGTCACGAGGGAGCAAGCCATAGGTCCCAGAAAAGTATAAGACATGAGCTCAATGGCAATGTCATCATTAAAAACATCTTAGCAACCAGCCTGGCCTTGTGACTGAGTTCACAAATGGGTGACTATGTAAGTCATCACTGACTCATGGCAGTGTGTGTATGTGGGTCCATTCCTTCACTCCAGATGACTGAACCTCATCCAGGGGAAGGGCTGGAGATCCAAGTTGGTTTCCCAACATCTATTAAAGGGAAAACAAGTATTTCCTGTCAGATTACAGGGAGGGCATGTCCAAACCAAGGGCTGTTTATTTTGCATAAGTTCCTAAAAAAAAAGCCATTCTTTCAGACTACAAATATACATGTAAACAAAAGGATTTTATATTAGCAAGAGCAAATGC